TTTTTTTTTTTTTTGTTTGTTATTTTTTACAAGACACCCTTTATAAGAATAGACCAAAAATCAAACACTTTATGCCCTTTAAAAATATATATACGTCTTCAGTACCAACAGTAAAATTTCATCAAAATTCCGAGCAAATGAAATAAGTAAGCAAAAAAAAAACAGTCTTTTCTTCATCAGCAAACAAAAAAAAAAAAATCATAAGCACAAAACAGACAAAAAATAAAACTTAATTATGTTCAACAAAAATTACTTAGATTATTAGAATTAGATTAATATAAGAGTTTTTTTTTTCTAGCGAAACCATATAACCTTTCCTTTAGCTTTTATTTATTTCCAAGAAATAAAAAAATGTTACTGGCCGATAATAAAAAATGACTGAAGAAAAGAATCTAAGCAGATGTAAATGACAGTGAAATCGATAGCATTCATAAGAGAACTTTCCAATAAAGGTGATGCTAGTTATTCAAAAGAAGAAAAAAAAAATAAATCAAAAAATTAAGCTACTTAAGAGAAATAATAGAAAAATTATTCAACTATTAAATTTACAGAGTTTTCCAGGTATCATCAAAGTTCATTTCAGAAAACCAATTTGATCACCGCCAAATACCCGCCCTGTCAAACATTTTTAGACTGACCTTACTGAGAATATTCACTGTTAAAAGTTGATGTATAAAAAAATTTTTCTGACAAACTGAAACGTAGATGATCTCATCTGAGAATTCATAAGTCACTAAGAAAAATTTTGATTTGAAAAAAAGAACTTTATTTCATGTTTACTTATGCCATTTCTACACCGTTTAAAAAAAATCTACGTTGTAACAAACCAAACACCAGTACTGTTGTAATTTTGCAACTTTTTAACTTACTTTCTTCTCTTATTTTAGTAATCATAGTAAACTTACTAAATTTAAATTCTGCAACAAAAAAAAAGCTTTTATTTTTACAGCAAATTATAACTGTATATTACTGCAGAGTAAATTACTGTACCTTTGAATCACTTAAAACTGTGATTAGAAATTAAAAAGAAAAGATAAAAATAACTTCCAAAAAGAAGTTGTTTCATTTTTTTATTCTTGTTAAAAAACATTTATTGAATTGTTCTTAAAAATTTAAGCGTAAAAATCAAGATAATCTTTCCCAACCTCAGCTTCAAAAAAAAAAATTTTTATCTACCAGAAACGACAGCAAAAAAAGAAAGAAAAAAAAGAGAATAAATAGAAAAAGTTAATTTAACAAATGAATTCTACCATTCTTGCTGCTTTTTTTCTCAAATCCATATTTATATCATGGACTTAAATGCTTTTTTTTATCAACTAAGAATAACGACAAAACAAAGAAAAAAAAAGAAATCTCTTTTTTTTCCTCTCTGTCATATTTTCTTTTCTTATTATTATTAGTAGTTTTAATTCCCTGCATTTTTTTTTTTGTGATAATCTACCAAATAATTCATTGTAAAATATGTGTGGAATTCCCGGTGATAAATGATCACATACAAATGTGAAAAAAAGTTTTTTTTTTATCAGGAAGTTGAGAAAGACGCGTAAATAAAGAACTGCCAAAAAAGATTGGAATAACAGTAATGAACATAGGATAATAGTACCACAGCTCCAAAACCATTCATCGAAAACTTGAAGCAATTAAAGCTCATCAACAATTTAGGCTTATTTTAAAAGTTCAATAAATAAGAACAAGAAAAAAATTACTGAAAAAGCATTTTTATGCATTTCAGCTATTGTTCAAAACAGTTTGCCCTTTATAAGACCCAGATTTATATTCAGAATTGAGTCCAAATTTTTCATTTGAAGATTTGTGCTCCAAAACAGCAAAAAAAAGCACTTAGAATTTATGAAGTTGGAGAAGAGGCAGAAGAAACAGTAAATTTTTTGAACTTCTGATAAATGCACATCCAAATTTCACTCCTGCTTCTTTCCTTCCTTCATCATCCTCCTCTTTCCTCTCCTTTTTCCGCTCACTGCTTTTTTGCAGTTCAATCCAGTCTGAACAGTAAAAAAAC